CAAGAAGTGTGTTTGACATTCTTCCCACTTCATGTGATCAGTGAACATCTGCACATGACGAAACTTTCTGAAAAAGGTTAGGTTTAAAATCTTAACACTTGTTAAGAAGTACTTGATACCTTAACAAATATGCTCATCTTCAAGGAATCAGGAATACTTTCTTCTGAAAGCTTGGAGTTTTATATGAAAGTCTCTTTCAGTGTGATGGGTTTCATGCAAAAACTGTCTGCTCATCTATAAGATGATTGAGATCAGATTCCTCCTGCAAAATACACAGACAAATCTGTGTAATCATCAAACTAGGAAAGAAGACAGGTACAGACTGAAGTGCAGTGAGTGCTCGGGGAGGCAGCACGGGGCAGCCTCCAAAGCCTGTAATAGTCCCTGTGCAGCATGTGGACTAGTGTCAGATCTCAGGAGACCTTTAGGGACCTTTAGGAAACTTCACCTTTTACTGAGTCTGTCTTTTGGAAATTGATACTTTAAACCCAGTTTAAATGCTGTTTGATCCAGGGCTTCATTTGAAGTGAGCTGGTTTTGACCATTTTATATAACATCTCAGTTATTGGATGAGTCTGCCTCATCTGTTTGCTGTCCAAATTCCTTTTCCCATTCGTAATTACTGTGGAGAGTTTTGAATTCTTGAGATTTGAGACCTAATCAGTTGAAGATTAAATTTGTAGAAACCTCCTTGATTTTTAGCAATTAGAGTTTCTGCGCTATTTAAGAATATGACAGCATGTATTTTCTAATTGCTTTGAGTCTGCTGATGTAAGTAATGCTGCAAACATGAAAGTTGATTTAATAGCATTTTGGTTGATGATACTTATTTTGGTAAACTTTCCATTGGCTTCAGGGGTGCCATAATTAGCCTTTGGGCTGCATTCCTTAGCATATTTGGGGGAGGAGGGCTGAAGGACCACATGTACTGGTATGGCTGGTAGGGATGGCAGCTTGACAAGAAAAAACTTTTCAGGGTTTCAGCTGGTCAGCAGCTTCGGCAGCAGGTTATTAGCAATAACCAATAGTTAGCATCCCAATAATTTGGTGCATTTCTCAGGGGTCAGCATGTGCTCCTTGCTGCCTTGCGGTGTGTGCTACCCTCGCACCACATAACTGTGAGCATCCTGGCTGGGAAGTGTTTCATGTTCATTTGGTCCAGAAATAAATGGCTATACAGAATTTGAGACTGTGTGTGTTTGGGGTGGAGGTTGGTTTTGTTTATTTTCAGACAGTGTTAAAATCAAAGGAGGGCTTTTGATCTGTCTCTCATGCAGCTTTCTGAAGAGATAGATGGAAGCTAATCGTACCTTTGTCCAGCAGTTTTAAGTGTTTTCCGATGTACCAAAGAGTGCATCTAGCTAGGCAAATGGCAAGATAGCATTTTGGTTCATAAACTCTTTGATTTTGCTTTTGTCATGACCTTTGGAAATCTGGAAGAAGGGAACTTCTTTGATAGTTGCCTAATATTAGTGTCTTGTAATTCCTTGAGGCAGCTGTTCAGCAGAACGTGATGCTTTGCAGCCCTTGTGTCCAGCAAGGTCTGTGCAAATGGGTTGTCAGAAACTCATTTATTTCATGAAGAGATTATAATCCAAAGAGTATCATTCTGATATAACTGTGAACAGTTTACTTCCCTATTTTGGTACCTTAGATAATAAATAGAGGTTTTAAAAGAGGAGGAAGAGCAGAGTAATTTTGACTTCTATTTCTGTGTTTTATATAACGTTAAAACAAAAGTGGATGGGTAGATGCTGGATTTCTGGGTATGTGAAGGTTTATGGGTTTCATGCATATCAGTAAAACGTCAGTTTTCCTTTTAATAGCTTCATTTAAAACAGGCCTGGGCTGTAGCCATGGAAGATAATTGCATTGCCCTGTAATTTTGCACAATTTTGTTAAAGTTAAATTTCCTGTTCTGTGCAGGCCATTGCAATTATGGAAGTGTCTTGTAACATGAATGTATGAGGTCGTTTCTAAGTTTGTACAAGAGAGATAATGAAGCTTGGTTAGACTGGAGGTGCTTTTTAAGTGTTCCCTTATAAATCCACCCAGATGGAATTGTTCCAGGCTGCCTGTCCTGATGAGCATGTCTGTTAAGAAGGTTCCTTGTGTTCTGTGTAGCGGTCAGAGTTCATTTACTCATGGTTCTGTACCCAGCTTCCTGACCCCAGACAGTAATACCATCAAGCTAATGGTAGGGTTTCTCCTGAAAGTTTACAAGCATGCTGGTTGAGAGCAAATAACAGCCTTGCTGTGCAGAAATAACTGCAGCTTACAAAGAATAGCAGCATCCTTTGGTAGGGCTGATCCATGAGCTTGTTTCCACAGTTGGTATATGTTAGCTGACATCTGTGGTTCCTGTTTGGTGGGTTAGTCTTGCCATTTGGGACAAGCCATAATAAAAGGCAGTTTCTAAAAAAGGAGTCTGACTGTCTTAGGGCATGAAAAAACCTCTCAAACATAAAAGTGGTGATAACTTACTGAACTTCACCTCACCTTCACCAGGGAATAGAGGGGTGTGATAGAAGTCTTTAAAAACAATGAATGATTGACAGGGGATCATGGAATAACAACACACCTTCAAGTCTCTGCAGAAAAATATGTTCTCTTTTATGAAAATGTGGGAAACTTGTAAACTGACAAAAAACTGTCATGTAAGAGTATGATTTAAAATACAGAATTTATTGCTGTAGGATTTTGAGGCCAAAAATGCATACAACCATGAAAAATAAGGGGATATTTTACATGATAATAGCTTTTCCAAATTTACATTAAGCATTCTGCTTCAAGGCTTAAGGCAATCCCCAACTCTAGGAGATAATGGGGTTTCTTGCACCTTTCTCTGAAGCGTCTGGCATTAGCCTCTGTAGAAGAAAGGATATTGGATTAAAAAAAGCCCAGTCTCATCTGCTATGCCAGTTTCTGTGTTCAAATACTCCCTGTCAATAGTGGCTTTTGGAAAATGATGACATTTTCTTCTCAGTTCTTAAAGAAACTCAAGGCCTAGCATCTGCATTAAAGGTTTTAAGCAAATTAGTCATTATTCTCAAAAATTTCTCCCTTAGCGGTATTGCTGAGTTCCTCGATTGAATCATGCTTGGACTCTGCTCTCTGGCTGATCAGATGTGGCTTTGAGTATCCTGAGCTTCAATGTGCTCTGCATTGGCATCCTGCTACCAAGAAAATGGTGCTACTTCACTGGGCAAATGGATGCCCAGAGTCCCTTTCTCTGTCAGAGATTTGTAATACATGTAGGTCTATAAAAGGTGGATGATAATTCTTTATGGGAAAAAAAGATAGTGTATTTGAGAAGCTTGCATGTTTTATGTTATTCCTTTAACATTATGGAGATCTTGGGTATTAGGCTTTTAAGCTGCTTTGTTGAAACTCATTTGACAAGGACTTGCACAGATGGTGCTTTACTTTCTGTCTGAAATCTGACGCTTTTTAATTTCCCTTGGGTCATCTCAGTGAATCTGGCTAGAATTTCATCAATGGATATTTTGTCTCCTGTATCTCTAACTTGCTTATCTGAAATAACATTTAGTCTGATGAGAGCAATATGTGGGTGTCTTTAACTGTAGGCAGAGTTAGCACATTCAGTCATCTGCTTCAGCGCTGGTATATTCAGTAATTACTGTACTATTAATGTGACTGGTCTAATGTACAGAAGTAACAAAATACTGAAATCTGCTTCTCTTCAAGGCAGATTTTTTTTTCTGCACTGACAGTGTATTTCTCAAGAGCTAGCAAAAGATGATTAATTGAAAATGTAATGCGTGACTAGACAAGGAGTTTTATGAGATGCTGATCTGTCCTTGACCTGGCTTAATGCCTGATATTAATGTTGGCTATGAAAACCTGCTGTGTGGATACTGGCATCCCAAAAGATGCTATGGCACCTGAAAGCTCTAAATAGATCTTGGGTTGGATTGTGGTGCATGCACATGCAGCCGTTAAAAGATAGCATTCATTAATCTCATTGACTTTGGTCCATCTGCCAGGCAGTGTGTTACAAATATACACCTACTTAGAATGTTAAACTCTGCTTTATAACATCTATTAGTGAAAGCCACTGATGGGTTTCTTAAATGCAGCAGCTGGGGTGTCTGTATGGGCTGCTTGCTCGTGTGTTGGAGAACACTGCTGCTAGGAGCATCACCTGGTAGAGTTTCAAGCAAAATGAAAACCCCCCAAAAGAAGTGGGGGGAAGTAAAAAATGAGTGTCAGGTCTAAACAGAGGCATGCTATGCTGAAGAGGTTAGATCTCTGTGACCTGCCTCTAAGTCTCTTTGCTGGCACGCTGCTGGAGATGACGTCTCTGAGAGCAGGCAGCAGAGCTGGTTGGGTGAGTGTCTGCTGACCTACTTCAGCCAGAATGACCCACGTTGGCTTAACCTGGTTACAGAGTAGCCCTGCTAACCTTGCTTGCTTATGGCTGCAGTGGGTTAGCAGGTTTGAGGGGGCAGTCATCTCCAGCAATGACCAGCTGAGGGTGGTGATACATTTCTTTGGTATAGCTGCATCAGGAAGAGTAAGTGTGTTCCCGGCCTAAGAAATGGAACAGGCTGCTAATACTGTTTTCAGTGATTCAGTTTTTGCAGAAGTGAGTCTGACCCAACTATAGAGAATATGCCCATGCAGAAGTGTCTGGTCATCTTGCAGTCATCTTGTTGAAAAGCAAAGTCTTTTTTTAACAGCAAACTCAAGTCAATACATTGTTGTTCCCTCCCACAAGGGTTTGTATGAGGTTCTACATAAGTATCCTGTGCATCGCAAAACACTGTTTGGGTGCTGTGTGTTACTTTCAAGAGCCCTGTGTTGGCCACTTGATAGCATTTAAAGGTCTGATCCCAGAAGAGGAGGGTGTAAGAAAAGTTTACATTGTTTTCCATCAAAGAAATATGAGGGTAAATATTTTCAACTGTTTAAAATGGAAGTTACTTATGCAAAATTCTGGGTTTACTAATAAAAGATTTGTTTTCTGTTTGTCTTAGGCTTTTGGGCAGGCCCATACCAACCACAAGAAAGTAGCAGCAGATGGAGAGAGCAGAGAGGAGACCTTGATTCAGGAATCGGCTACCAAGGAAGAGTACTACATGAAGAAGGTTATGGAGTTGCAGACAGAACTGAAGCAGCTCAGAAATGTCCTTGCCAACACTCAGTCTGAAAATGAACGCCTTAATTCTGTTGCACAGGAACTGAAAGAGGTGAGTGAAGGTGCGCAGTGCGCACCACAGCTTGTATTGTGGCTATGTTTTCTTGTTCTGTGTAACCAAAATAAGGAATATTCTTGAGCTGATTGGTATCTGCTTAATAGTGGCAGCTGCTAAGTTGGGCTGTCTCTCTGGGACTTCAGCAGTGTTACATCCAGCTGAAGCTGTAATTCAACAGTACAGTAAATACAACTTTCTGGTTCCATCCACTGAACCAGCCTGTTGTGGCCACAATGGTTCTGACCCAGTAAAATTCACTCTGTCCAAATACCTACTAGTTCTGCAGTAACCACTGTATTGTGTCCCAGGTGATTGGACAGACACGTGACTACGTGCCTGGGTCATGCTGGTGCTGTGGGTACTGCACATCAATTCCCTCAGTCCGAGAACTGCTGCCTTAAAAAACAGAGGAATCTGTTTAGTCCAAGCACAGAGATGCTTTGGATGTACTTTTTCTGCCTCACACCCAATACAGATTTTCTTGCTGCAAAATATTTGGGGCAGAACTCCCCCTTTTATCGCTTTTTCCACCCTAATTTTTAAGGATGTGGGAGCATAACAAAACACTGAATTGCATAAAAGGAGTAACAGTAAAGTTTATAGTCTTGTGTTTTCTCTCATGAAAGTAGTGGCTTTTACTTTTTCATAGGTTGCTTAACTTACTACCTCAAAGTACTTTGACCTTTTATTGTTTTAGTATTGAAACTGCCTTTTTCTGAGGGGAAGTAATCACTGAGAAATTGACTTTAAAAGTTTAATTACTTACGAAATCTGTAGCTCAGCAGGAGTCTCTGTGGCACTGATGCAGAAAAGATTGTTTTGAGAGCTCAAACCATTGCTTAAAGTTAGACTGGGTAAAAGTTACAAAGACTGTAAACCACAGATGGATGTGGTAAACAGTCAGCAATTATTACTCGTGAGCTTTCCTGCACCTTCCTTTGAAATGCTGGGTACTAGTCTCATCTAACCCTGAGGTATTTGACTGGCCTCTCCTGCCAGGAGAGAAGGTTATCTAAGAGCCCACGTCTTAAACTCAACATATTCTACACGACCACAGCTGAAAATCAGAAGCGTCTCATTTAATTTCTTTAGGACATAGTAACAAATATGTGGATAATATTTGGTGGTAAAATTAGTGAGGAAATGTGGGTTGCTTCTGTGGAGATGTGGGGGTTCAACAGTGTCTCTCTTAGGGGTGTAACAGAGAAGGAGATTTGTGGGGCAAACTGTCACAGGTGATCAAAAAGGCCAGTCAAGCTCTCCTTTAATTTCCTCTGTGGCATAACAGAGCTGGAATCAGGCCACGTGCTCTGCTTAGGCAAGGAACCAGTCCCTGCAAGCACACACACAACTCTTTATTTCCTAACCTTTAAGAACAACTTAAAAGAAAATCTCCGCACCCTAGAGGCAGCATTGTGTTCCTAACGGATTCCAAATGCGGCTCAAAAGCATGCTGATTGGCAGATTTCAATCCAGCTCCCTGTGTCACAGCAGCGGAAGGCAGTTTTTCCTTCTAGATACTGCCATGTTTCAGCCACCTTTGCTTGGAGCTGCATTTGGTTTATACAACCCTTAGATGAGCTGTCAGTTTGCAGGGTTTTAGGGTGAGTTTTTTCTTGTGTTTTGTCCTTCCACCTCATCCATGCGCCCTTTTGCACAGCACCCTTGTGTGAGATGGACCCCAGTGAGAACTGAAGAGTGCAGGAAGAGGGGAAGTGAGTGATGTCGTTTCTTGTGAAGATTTTCTTCTTTTTTAAGATTTTTTTTTTTAAGCTGTCTTCTGCTGAACAGGGGAAGATGCATTTAGTTACTTGACTAGAAATAAAGGCTGACAATAATTAACTGGATGTGTCTGATTTTGAACTTTGAATGGAAACTGAACTCAGTTAAAAATAAAAATCAAACCCTAATGTGATAAATAACTGGAATCTTGGAGCTAGGGGTTTCTCTGCCTGTCGCTTTGTGTCATCTCAGTGCATGCATTCTTTCCTTGGCATTTTTTAGCCTAGCTGTTTCTTCTGCTGGTAAATTGTGGTGGGGTGAAGAGGTGAGGAGGAAAAAAAGAAATGGCATGAAAGCTTTAGTGTTAAAATGAAAACATTTGAGCCAATTGACCATGTGTAGCTTGGGATTCTTTTCCTCTGAAGATGCCTATTTGTGTATTGCGTTTTGATTTGAATTGCCTTATAATTACTGGTAGGAAACAGTGAGGCAAGGTGTGTGAACAGAGGTATCAGCCTTCTCCTGGCCCACAAAAAAGCCAAGTCCAACATGACCATCTTGAGGGACTTGGCTTTTCTCTCGTATAACGCATCAGAAAGTGGCAGAACATCAAATAGTTGTTATTTCACCATTGCTGTCCAGGTAGGTGGAAACAGGAGGATAAGCACGGGCCTCCTGTGATGACTTGTAGATCTAATAGCAAATTTAATTTGAAAATGTTGTGTGAGGCAAATCAAGGAAAATGTGTTGTAGCCATTGTAAGCTAGTGAGCAAGATGAGCAGTGTGGTTTTCACCAGTCTCTGTTGCCATGATTAAATTTGGCCTGTCTCATGGTGAAAGTTTTATGTTGATACTAGCCCAAGTTTTATGTTGATACTCAGTGCTGAAGAATGCTGCTGTAGTCTGAAAGCGTTGGGGATGAAGGTGGAGTATGATCTACTGTTTTATACCACAGAGACATAGTGGAAATTCCTTCCTTCATTTTTTTCTGACTGCCAGTGAAAGAAAAAGTACTGTGGCTCTTCTCCATCTTGTTGTAGAGAATGTTTGTAGGCAGATCTAGTCTTTATAGTGTGTATTTTGGAAGTCCTGTATTATTGCCTATTGAGAGAAGTGACTTGCAAGATGTCTGGTGGAACAGGAAACTTTTACTTCCATTGCAATCATTCTGGATTTGATCCAGATAAGAGGAAGGATGTGGAAAATGCTTGACTGTGTGTCCTCTGGCCAGGCACATGGGCTCGTCCTGTCAAAACTAAAAGGAAGTTTAAAAAAAAAAAAAAAAAAACAAAACAAAAAACAAAACCACCAGAACAAACAATCCAGGAAATCAACTGTTCTGGTTTCAGCTGGGATAGAGTTAATTTTCTTCCTAGTAGCTGGTACAGTGTTATGTTTTGGATTCAGTACAAGAATAATGTTGATAACCCACTGATGTTTTCTGTTGTTGTTAAGTAGTGTTTATACCTGTCGTGGTTTCAGCCCAGCCGGTAACAAAGGACCACGCGGCCGCTCGCTCCCTCCTCCCGCCCCCCTCCGGTGGGATGGGGGGAAGACGGAGGAGAGAAAAAAAAAAAACAAACCTGGAACCTCGAGGGTTGAGATAAAGGCAGTTTACTGGAACAACACAAAGAAATTGCAACAACAACAACGGTACTAATGAAAAAGTATACAAAAAGAGTGATGCACAGTGCACCTGCTCCCCCCCCGGGACCCGACGCTCTGCCACTTCCCCCACCGAAAAGAAGAGCCCACCCCCCGGCCCGCTCCCCCTTTATATACTGAGCATGATGTCACATGGTATGGAATAGCTCCTTGGCCAGTTCAGGTCAGCTGCCCCGGCTATGCCCCCCACCTCCCAGGTTCCTGTAAAAAATTAACTCTATCCCAGCTGAACCCAGGACAATACCAAGTCAAGGATTTTTCAGCTTCTCATGCCCAGCCAGCAAGAAGGCTGGAGGGGCACAAGAAGTTGGGAGGGGACACAGCCAGGGCAGCTGACCCAAACTGGCCAAAGGGGTATTCCATACCATGTGATATCATGCCCAGTATATAAACTGGGGGGTAGTCGGCCGGGGATGCAGATTGCTGCCCAGCAAGTAATTGGGTGTCGGTCAGCAAGTGATGAGCAATTGCATTGTGCATCACTTGTTTTGTACATTCCAATTCTTTTGTTATTATTACTACTACTGTTATTATCATCATCATCGTTATCATCACTGTGATATCTTCCTTTCTGTCCTGTTAAACTGGCTGTATCTCAACCCATGAGTTTTACATTGGGGTTTTTTGTTGGTTTGTTTTTTGGTTTTTTTTTTTTTTTCAATTCTCTCCTCACTCCCACTCTGTGTGGGGGAGTGAGTGAGTGGCTGCATGGTGCTTAGTTGCCGGCTGGGGTTAAAGCATGACATCAACTGAGGCTGAATCTCTGCTTTATTTTTAAGGGAGATTTGCTTGTCGGGGCTGGCTGCAAAAATTTTTTCCGCTGTTTTGTAGCTCTCTGATGGGATACAGAGTTTTACCGTTGCTGGGTTTTGTTCTTTTTTTTTTGAAAAAATCTGTTATGTCCTTAGTAGTGGCAGAAGGAGAATGAATGGTCAAGTGCATCAGGCAACAGCTCCTCTTGAGATGCTGCTGGCAGTAGCGGTGGTGGTGGGTTGAAACCAGATGTTGACCCACATCGGTTGGAAGTGCATTGAAGACTGTGCGTTTAAGATGCTGTCATTTCTTTCGTGTCTTCTCAGGACATTTGCACGGAAGCAATGAGTTGTTTTTGCAAGGAGGAGTGACATCCAGTACACCTGGAGTTGCTGTAGCAGACATAAGTGGTTTTGACGCTTTCTGTTGAATTATCTAACTTTGGCCTGTTGAGACAGGCTGACAGGGTGGTTACCGATTATGAGTTTTACTGCTGTCATTAGCTAGCTCAGCAGCTGCTGTGTCCTGGAAGAGTCACTGGAAGGAGTAATTGCTCCTGAGTAATTGCTAATTGCTATTCCTTTTTAATCTTCTTTCATCTCTCCTGTGTTTTAGTAGCACCAAAACAGATTTCATGGCTGTGAAGTCATGAGGTAGACATGCCCAGTACAGAGAAGATGAAAAATGAGTGATTCTTTCCCAGGAAAGTAAAAGGTGTTCAGATTATGTAAACTAAAGGGAATATATTTTAATGTGTGTGCTTTTATATGTTAAAAGAAATAACTGATATGACATGGTACAATATAATACATACAAAGTAGCATGTTTTTAAAAGCCCACAAGTTATCAGAAA